AGTCCTTCTCCTCAGGGCTGCATAACTTATCAGCAGCAGGCTCAGGTAAACAGCTATATTCCTCACTGAACTGCATCAGAAAGAGACTCATGATCATAAGCTCATAAGTTGTTTAAATCAAAGAACCTTCCCATCTGAGGATGCCTCTGAAAGAACAAACGGTGAAAGCCTTTGGAAGCACAGGATCACCTTACGTGACACAACAGAGACAACACATTAGTGCACAGGAGTCCTGGGGAAGACTAGGTGAACACCAGAAAAATTCGGAGGAGGTGTGCAAACACGGAGGTGCGTACAGCCCGGCTAGCCAGGAAGGAAACCTGCGTATTCACTCAGATCGGGCGGCAGAAGGACACTTACTTATCTGGAGGCCAAAGAGGATGACCGAAGCCACAGTAGAAAGAACAATGGCTGCCGCCGCAGAAAAGCCTTTCATAATGTTATCCGTGTACTTCACGACAATCGAGGTGTAGAGGCCACCTACGCTGGCGAGAACTGGAAAGCAGACAACACGTTCCTGTTAGTAAACGTGCGGTAGGTCGCTCTGGAGATGATGCGTTTCACTCCGTGAGCGTGCTCCTTGTCGGGGGTACATCCCCCTAACCGGTGATCAGACGCAACATTCAGCAAAATGGGGTATCTGCACGGCACCTGGTAGGTCAGACAGGACTCGCTGAAAGATGATCTCACTGCTCAGTCATTTAGGGCTGCTGCTTCAGCACAATTTTAAAGAGAACAAGCGGCTAATTGCCAAGAAAATGGTACTTTAAAAAAAAAAAAAAGCCTCAAAAGCACCGTAAAAAACAACGGGTCAGCTTGAATTTGTAACTTGGTGCAATCAGTTGTGTCACAGTTACAAAAAGCAAAACAACGTAACGAGATCCTAAAGCCACAAGATACTTACAGATGACAAACCAGACGTAGTAGGTGTAGCCATAGAAAAACCCTTTCTCGAGCACCTGGGCTCCGTCTGACATGTACACACCAAATAGAGTCACCGCAATCCCAGATAAGTACATCTGAATATTCCTCACCCACAAGGAAGTATCTGAACTCTTTAAGACCTTCTCAAAATAAACTCCTAAAATGAAAAAAAAAAAAGAAAAAGGAGGGGGGGTTGAGTAAGATGAATGAAGTTTCATATTTAACGATTGGTGATGTCTCAAAGCCAGGCGAGAGTACCGGAAGCATCTTGTCCTACAGACTGCTACGTTTCGCGGAAGTTCCCAATGCAGAAGGCCCAAACCCACATCCTGCTAATGTGGCTTCCAGGACAGGATCATTCTAAGGGGTACATAACAGCAGAAATAGGTGCCGTTTCTCTTTACAGCTGTTCTAACAGCAAACCTCATCGACAACTGAAACCACTCCTCATTTCTGTTTGATTTGCCAGGCTTCTGATTCCAAAGGTTTCTCCTGTACAGGTCTACACCAGGAAAAAAAAAACACATTTCACCTTGGCACCTGGTGTTTTATCCCCAGTAAAGTATTCATGTACTTCAGTACGATGCAGAACCTTTTGTTTCCCTCCGTCGGGATGCTTAGCAGTACAAAACGAGAGAGAGGTGGGGCTGTATTAGCTCAGTACTAAGCTTGAAAATACCTGGGCAGCACTGTGCTTGCAGAGTACTTGGCAGAGTGGCAGCAAGCTGCAACCACAAGCTTAAGGGGATTACAAGAGCAAAGCAAAACCAATGCCTTCTGCTAACTGACACTACAGATTGTTTCTGAGGAAATGGGATTCATTTTAGTCTAAAGCTCTTGTTCACAGTGCCACACTGATAAGCACTGCTTTTATGCTCTGCATTACTGATATTCCCCCATTTTCATTACTCTGCTGGGGAGGTGTATGTCAGACTAAGGGGCTGACATTTGACAAGGCCATCACCACCTGACTTTTTAACCACTGCTCCCACACCAGGGCTCTTCTGGTCTCTGAAATTTCCTCTGCATTTCGGAACAGGGAGAGCAGTCTGCAGGACTTGGGTCTTCTCAGCCACGTCCATGACCTGGCACGAGTCCTGGTGACTAGAAGTTTATTGCTGATTAACGTCGCCTGAGATCCTTCATGTGACACGAAAAAAGTATAGGGAACTGCCAGAGATGGCACAGAGAAAAGAGCTGTGGGTTAGAAACCTTGGCCACACACTGCTCCTGAAAACCCTGAGTAAGCTTACTACTAAGTGTAGCTACTAAGCTTAGCTACTACTAAGCCCTACTGGTAAGGAAGATCTCACTACCCTGTTTTATTCATGAAAAATGCAATTTATAATTTCATACAGCACAGAGAATATTTATGGTGAATAAATTACAGAACAGATTTATATTTCAGGGGTTCTAAAACCACCCCAGGAAATATTCTCTCATGAATATACATCTTTTAAGTCTGTACACAACATCAACAAAAAAACAGCGTTGTTAACGACTGCAGTGCTTAAAAAGAGCCCATAGTGATCCATCTCAAGATATCTACCCACCGAGAAGACCCACAGAGCACACCCAGATGCAATCCATGCACCAGAAATTTGGCTTGCACACAAACCATACCTGTACGTTTTATAAACTAAGAAACCGGCAAGCAAACCAATGAAACGATGCTTTCAGATTTCTGGAAATGCATAAAAATCACTCCAGTAGGCAAGATGAAGAATGGGTACTGTGTCAAGTCACAAAGGATCTCCCGACATATTTGTCCAGTGCTTTTATGAGCATTGTAGGGCCCCTGGATACTTGGAAATCATCACAGTATCAGCAGTTTGAAGAAAAAAACCTTTCTTTTCCATCTCTGAAGGACAAGAATACATAAACTTTTTTACTTTGCTGGAATAATATAAAATACTTAGCATGGTCAGTTCAGAAACTGAAGGTTTAATGCCAAAGTAACTTCATGTGGATGAGGGAAGGAAGAGGCGTTTCAATGGGATTTATGTTTTCAACATATAAAGCCCCGAGGGCACAAGGAGCTCCACAGATGAAATACTCTGTCTGCCCAGCTGCCTCACAGCTACGGTTGCCAGCCAGGCAACACCCAAGCTGTAATCCTTTTGCTGGAGAAGAAAGCTGCATGTGTCGAAATCCTCTGGAGCTGCCCGCGTCAGCCCTGCCAGTGGTCTGAATTTGCAGGCCTTCGGAAGCACAGCCGCCTCCCCGTGTGAGCAGAGGACACTACAGAGCTTTAGGGGACTCTCAAGGCTGTGGATGTTGTATTCTGTCTCATGGCTCTGGAGCATCTGGAATGATTAAATTTATCACTTCCAGGAGGAGCTGATTGAACTCTACAGAGCCTTATTTATTATTTCTGTTTCAAAGTGTCCATTTTACAGAAAAGGCACCAAAGAAGAACATCACCTTCCTCCTCCTCCCCACCAACCAGAATGTTTCCCAGGGGTAACAAGCGTGTATGCACAGCACAAGATTATTCTTGCAGGACTGTACGGTACTCGAGGTGGGTGATAGTACCTTGTTTTCTTACAGAGGGAGGGGGAAGAATCCAGTTTACAGCCAGGAAAATATACCCCTGCAAGCCAAACCTCAAATGAAGTAGTAATTTGCATTTCCTTAATTTTTAGCACCCGCTTCACTTGTTCTTGAGTTCTGGTCTCCTTCTGCAGAAGCCAGAGAAACACTGCTCTGAAGGGCAATGCTTTTTGTAAAACCAACTCAAACTGCGTGAAGGATTTCTGCGTTATCTGAGCTTCCTGCTGCTCATCTTCCTCTCTGCCCTACTCCCGCTGCATCTCAGATTTACCACCTGCGGGACTACGCAGCGTGCATTTCAGGGTGGCTGAGCGACTGCAAGAATTGAGTGAAGAATGTTCCCCTTATAAAAAAATTTCAAGCATTTCATGAAAACACCGTAAGGGAGCTAGTCACTGTAAAGCCTGCTTTATAAAACCGATGGACATTAATTAATTGTACTGAGCAAGTCATTACAGGTGTTCCCCTAGTAGTATCGTAAGCGTTTGAAAAACGCTCCCACTTGCAAACCAGCCTTCTAAGTTGTATCACATAAAACCAGTAGGATGTGCTCCTAGCCATTTGCTTGACAGCTGGAGTAACCGTGTCATGAATCTGTCATAATTAAAATCACAGAATGGTTTGGGTTGGAAGGGACCTTAAAGACCATCTAGTTCCAACCCCCCTGCCATGGGCAGGGACACCTTCCACTAGACCAGGTTGCTCAAAGCCTCATCCAGCCTGGCCTTGAACACTTCCAGGGATGGGGCATCCACAGCTTCTCTGGGCAACCTGTGCCAGTGCCTCACCACCCTCTCTGGGAAGAACTCCTCCCTGATATCTAATCTAAACCTCCCCACTTTCAATTTAAATTACTGCAAGCAGAAGGTAATTATGGGCAGACTGGACAAAGTCCCTTTCTACCTTACAATCAATAGATAGGTAACTCATGTAGAATGTTCTGTTTCAAACACCCCAAGCTCTCCACTCCTTTTGATGTGACTCGCATACAGAAATCATACTATACCTGCAAATCCCGAACACAGTACAGCAACAGCAACCGCTCCAAACCCTAGCCATGGATTCTGCTCCACCTGCAACATCAACCGTTATTTTACAAAGGACGCGACGCTTCAGTGATTTACAGTAATCAATTCCAGAGCCACTTTGTTGAACACAGCAAAACGATTAGCATTTCATCGCTGTATAAAATGTACACGCCCCACTAGAGCCGCCCTCCCGCTGAGCTCGGTGTAGCTGCGTGGTGTGGCATCACCACGCACCCTTACCAACCCCCCGGCGTGCTCAGAGGCACCGTCTGCTCTCGGCGGCACGACCTGCCCGTCCCACTCGCTGACCAGCAGCTAAGGCCTCAGGAATAGAGGACGCTTGTTTCTTCCTAGAAGGGGATGAGGTCAGTGCCTGCGAAGGGTGTGTTTAAATGACATCCCAACACCCACAGGGCATTGGACTTTCCCTCCTAACCCTGCCAAGTGCTTCAATTCCAAGCTCCCTACTCCAGCAATTACAAAGATGCCAGGGCCAACTGCTGGAAACATCGCATTACTCACATACTCCTACGATGGTGCGTTGGACTGATTATGACAACTGTGGTACCTTACACTAATTGTAGCCATCAGCTGCCTTTCCAACAAGCGAGACTGGCGCAATCCCGCGCGCCTGCCCCGAGCTGGTACTCAATCACTGTGAAAGTGTGGGATCAAACTAGAGGAAGTGGCTGGAAATGGGAAACGGGACACTGGTGTGGAATGTAAGAGATCCCGGCTGCTGCGAAGCACAGCACAAAGTATAAGGCGGTTTATTCTCCATTGTGAAGTGGCAAAATGTAAAGTCCTACCTGTACTTTCGTGGCCTGAGCAGGCTTCCACTGAACAAGGGTGACGCCGCCACACAGCATGAAGACAGAGAACCACTGCAACTTACTAAGGCTACGGTTTAGCATCAGGACTGTACATAAGGCTGTGCAAGGGATCTTCAGCTGGTATGTCACCTGAAGAAGACAGGAATAGAGCGTAGAGGATGGGGGTTTTATAAACTCCTCCAAAACAAGAAATAAAATAGAGATTTCAACTACAGAATGGCAAGTAAAATTTTGTATTCATTGACTTCCTACAGATCGTTGGGGGTTTGCATCATCGCCAGTTAGAATCATAGAATCACAGA